TATGAGGCTGGTGCAAGTATGAGAATTGCTTCCTAATTGTTCCAGAATTAGAATATATGGATTTCAAAATGGTCTCTTTAAGGAACTGCTAGCTTACGTTATCTGGATCGTATCTACATATCATCTCTAAGTGATACTACTTATCATGATTCATAACAAAGGTTCAGTACAAAACTGAATCAAAACTTTAAAAGTTACTTTTGAAGACCACAGTTCCCAGAACCCTTCAGCCACATACACACTGGTGAATTTTGAGAGCTATTGCCCACCATATAATTTTTCCACACTCGGGGTGGGGGTGGGGATCCATGGGTAATAGTATTTAGGCACTGTTACAGTAGACCCCTTGAATTAATAACTCAATATCTGAACCTTCAGACATGCCGTACCTGTGGTGAGCACCATCTATACAGGCATTATTTAATTATTTAATTTAAATAAGAACCATATATAGGCCAGGCAGGGATGGAAAAAAATTGATGTTCCAGATAGTTTGGACTTTAAAGTTCCAGAACCCTCAAGCAGTAAAGTGCTTAAAGATTATAGAGATGGATTAGAGAGATGTAGTCCAAAATATGTTGAGGGCCACCTCTAAAACTAGCAGAAATAGATAAACTTGCTGTTTTGGGGGGACTCTGATTCCCAGAATGGAGATGATAATTCCAGGTGTTCTGGTCCAAAAAAGCTAAGTTTTCCCACCACAGGAGAGAGGCACACATTGATCCATATGGACATTCTCTCATGCATGATGAATGAACATCTGATAAGTTCAGATACGTGAACATGACTTGTACATTCTCTTCTCACTTCCAGTTCTGTCTGCATTTCGAGTAAAGTCTGGTGCTAAATCATAACAGCAGGAACAATCAAGCTGACTTATCCTTATTCATATAAAGAAAAAACTCACATCAATGGTCATATATCATGTTCTGAGGGGTGTTTATTTAAAAATAAATATTTGTAAGATTTCTTTTCAAAAGGTGTAAGCAATTTCTTCTGCAACATATCCAGTACTGGTGACATCAACTGTGGTAAGTTCTTAAGAAAAAAAGAATAATAATAAAATGAAGTTCCCAGTAGCTACAACTATTCTCAGCATGAAGAACATCATGTTGTATCTGTCTGCTCTAGAAGGGTTAAAAATGAGGAGATTCTTAGTAGAAAAAAAGAGGGAGCAATTCTAATTCAGGGCTCAACTACTTAAATACCCAAGGGTGCAAACCAGCATTTAACACTGACAAAGCCCTGGATTTGGATTGACAGGTCTATCAGTTTTCATTCCCTTTACCTTTGATTTTTCCAAAATTTCAGCTTCTTTCCCTTCCAAATATGAAAAAAAAACCCTGTCAATTTTGGTAAATTCATATCAAAACAGTCATTGAAATGGAATTCTTGCTCTTTCCTAATGTAAAGTTCAAATATAGAAACGAATGGGTGCAGTGCCCCCTGTAGGTAAACATTACTGGATATGGGAACATTACCAGTGATCTTATAAAAACCCTCTTACACATGGCAGCCTAAACACACACACACACACAAACACACACACACACACACCAAGTATGTCTTCTGATGGCATGCACAGCAACAAGCTTTTTTTGTGCCTGTGCCAGAATCTATTCATGAAAACATGAAGAAAAGAAGAAAAAAGAGAAGGAGGCGGCGGCAGTGGAAAAAGACGAAATCTGACAAGGCCTGAACTTTCTCCTCCTAGCAATATTTAGGTCTCAAGTGGAGGATTTTTTTTTTTCAAAACCAGAACCAGACGTTTGCTAAAAGGCAGATGAAAGAGGGCCTCGCCACCCTTTCTTGCATCCTCTTTATGTCCTTAGGAAGATTGCTTTTTAAAATGACAGGCCTCTGTATTATGGTTATTATTAATATCGCTTATTTTCCTGACCAATTTGAAGAAGGACGTCTAGTAGCCTCAAAAACCAAACTCCCTTTGAATATGCCAAATTGTGGGCTGTCAAATTTGGCTGCCGAGCTATCAGCAAGAACGAGAGAGAGAGAGAGAGAGAGAGAGAGAGAGAGAGATTGTTTTGTCCTGGTTGCTTGATAGGATTGACTGCATTCTTGTCTCTTTCTCTTCTTGCTGCTGTCCCTTTGGCGCTTTTGTGTGCAGCTTGCAATTGAAGTCTATTATTTATTTCTATTCCCCCCCCCCAAATAATAATCACCCATTTTAAAAAATCCACCCCTCCCCCGACTGCTTTCTCGTCTTCTGCAGACGTGACAAAAGTTTGCGGCAGAGACGTAGTGCAAACTGAACACTTCCTTTCTGTTCCAATATATACAGGAGTCAAGGGGGTATCTGGACACTGTCAGGGTGTTGCAGTCCATTTCTCAAAGTGACTTTGTTATAAAAAAGGAGTTTAATCTCACCTCTGCCTCCACCTCCCCATTCCCATGCAACCTTGTGAAACTTCCACTTTAAAAGGCAATTCCATCTTTCAAAACCAGAACTGATTGGATTTGGCAAGCTAGTTAGAAGTCCCCTGAGTGAGGGTCAGTGCTTATTTTCAGTAAAACAAAATCAACTTTCAAAATAAATAATCCACAATAACATCATATTCCCTCAAATCTTATAATCCTATTAACAGGGGCTGGAAGTTTTCGTTGAGGTTCCCCCTCCCCCTCGCCACTGGGCTGACAAAATTGGCCAGGTTTCAGTGGCGAAGAAGGAGAAAGTCAGTTGAAGGAGTAGCCAAAACATGCAGTAAAAGCCTGATCTTTTTGCCTAGCCAGGCTCTGTGGTTAAAGAGCTCTTAATGACTATTGTAAGCCCTTAAATATAATCATCTGTATTTCACCTCCAGCTAATGTGCTGCCCATGTAGCATGTTTATATGCTCAGACAGCAGCTTGAGAGACTCAACAAATGGGCCTGTGAGGAGAACTGCAGGGCAACAAGGTCGCCATGGCTATTCTCGTGAATGAGGCCTCTATCAGCCATGACAGAAGGGTGCCAAGGCGCTCCATGAAACGGTGCCCAGAATTAACCTCAGCAAAGTCCCCTTGCCAGAAGTGGAAATGATGTGGTAATATCAAAAAGTAAATGGATTTATATATAATTCTAGATTTATCTACATGTATTTTTATTGGAAACATGACAGGGAGGCTAAATCTTGTGAGTCTTTCCTCTGGCTCGCTTCTGCTAACCCTTAGATGTTTGAGTACTCAGGGTAGGAATCTGCACATCAATAAGGACTGCTAAGGGCTTATATAGGAACTGGCACTCTACCCTTTACCCAGACAGAACCCTTACTACATGAAGTGAAAGCAGTAGCAATGGACGGCCAGAGGTAAGCAATGTATTACACCACATCTGTACAGTGATACTGTCATAGTAAGGCAGAGCAGGAAGCCATCTTGGGGTTCTTTCTGGTGAAAGGTGAAATTATAAATACAGGACATTAATGAATGAATGAATAAATCAATCAATATAAAAGGGCAGAGGATTTTTGAAGAGTTGGATAGTATCACAAAGAGGACACCCTCTATCTGCAAGACATCTGGAAGCTGAGTCATGGTAACTGGACTTTTTTCTTATTAGGTTGAACATTTCGCTATTCATCCAGGTAGCTTCTTCTCTCTGAGGAGAGTTGGTAGGAGACCCCTGATAATATCCTCCATGTTGATTACACTTTCCCCTGGTCCAAATAGGCACCTTAGATGGACAAAGGATGGGGGGGGGGTTAGTGAACATCCCACTTTTGCAGTCCTTCTCCACCCATTGTCATGGGTCGTTAATAGTCCTTAAGATTGATTTTTTTTTTTTTTTTTTGGTGTATGGTCATGATCTTTCTGGGGACAGATGAAAGGGCAGCATGATAAATAGGAGATAGATTGTATCTAAGGCCTCCACCCCCTTAAATGCATAAGCTTATTTTGCTCCTGTCTCCAAGAATCTGTTGGGAGTGAATTACAGACGTAAGGCTACAATGCACATGCATATTTCTATATGCATGTGCATATAACCTCACCTGGCTGACCGAGAATCTTCACAGATATCTGCCAGGTAATACTCTGAATTAGGTTCCAATTGTTATTTATTGTATTGTCTAGTTTGCCACTAAATTTAATCTCAAGTTTCTCTGACATGGGGATTGTCACACTTCCAGCTGCTTCTGTTACCATCCCAAAGCTGAAGCCATGTGCTTTCACAACAGGCAACAGAGGATTTAGTTACTGGCATCCCCGTGTCTGTTGAACCAGGGAAAGCCAGTTGGTTCTACATCTCCTGGGATGAAATCTGGTATGTATACTACTAACCAGTTTTACAGGTTTTCAATTACCATCTTGGGATATTAATTTACCTGCAGATTCTAAGGCCTCTTTTTTAAATTTTTCTGTTTCAAGTGGTAAAAATCAGCCAAAATCACAGCTAAAGCCAACAGAGCCCAGATAATTTTTTTTAAAGCCAAAAAGAATAAGTGGGTCTTCAGAATGTCCTGAAGGCCTCATGAAGTTATGTGAGGGTTGTTGTTGTTGTTGTTGTTGTTGTTGTTGTTGTTGTTGTTGTTGTTGTTGTTGTTGTTGTTGTTGTTGTTGTTGTTGTTGTTGTTTTGGAAGAGTCACCAGGCTTCAAGCTTTGACCCTGAAACGGTGGTTTTGGAGTTCTGTTTCCAAGATCTCTGACTTTGGTCTTGAAATTTCAGTAAATGGGGTGCTGCCCTTCTGGCAACCCTGATTTGGTGTGTGTGTGGGTGTTCTTCCTGATATATTAGATCCCCACTTACTCTTGTCCCACTTCATTTTAGAATGCCATGTTCCTTTTCCATTTAGTAACGCAATTACTTCATGCTGTGCATTGTAGCCTTACGCCTGTAATTCACTCCCAACAGATTCTTGGAGGCAGGAGCAAAATAATCTTATGTCATTGGCTTTTAATTTTATCATTGAGTCTCTGCATTGCCTATCTGATTGCCAACCATACAGTTTTTGCGAGTGTTGAGGAAGAGTCTATTCCCTCTGGTATCAGAAGGTCAAAGCCCTATGTCATGATGAGGCATGCGCCCCCACCCTGCTCTCAGATGATGGTCCTGATATCTTAGAGAAGAAGATGCTCCTGAACTATCAACCTAATTTCCTGAAGTGTGGATCCATTATGGAAAAGGCTTTTTCCTTTGGAATCACCAACCAAACTTGTCTTGGCAGTCAGCTTATGGTGATGGTCTTCTTTATATGGTAAGACAGAAATGGATTAGTCACAGAATCCTTTTTCACAGTTTCCTATGTACTGATAATGACACAGAGAGAGAAAAAATAGCTTTAATATAATACTTGATCTATTGTCTATTTACATCTCTGGCCTTTCAGTGTTTCTAAAGTTCTACTACAGTTTAGTAAACCAGCATATTGATGGAAGCAAGTTTGAATGAAACTCCACCTCAGCCTTAAGTCAGTTTTTTATTACATCAAAAATGTTGGAACAAGCCAAGGTGATAAATCTTAATTTCAATCAAGCAGGTACGTGTATTCATTCAGCCTGTTATTTATACACAGTAACTGTGATTCTTTGGAATGAGGGTATCCATTTGTGAAATCTATGTTTCTTCTTCCCTCAAAACATGGGAAATTTAATCACCATGGCAGAGACTACAGGATCTGCTCTGTATGTCCCTTACAAACCACACTCTTGGGTCAAATGAGGCAGTGGCTTTGAAAGATTTTATAGGCATCTCTGTGCATGCCTTTTTGATGAGTAAAAGGTTGTTCTGACCTTAAAAAAAATATTTTGAATCAGTAAAGGCCCAAAATAAATAACAAGATGCTGAAAGTGTATTTCCTTCCTTTGCCATCTTCTTAAAATCATAAAGATTTTTAGTACATCTAAATAGAGTATGATGGCAAGTGTGGTGTAGTGAATAGAATCCCAAATCAGATATAGAAACTCTTTGGAGAGTGTCAATGTTAAACAATAGGGATCTGCACTCATATTTGGAAACATTCAGAATTTACTGAACAATTCTCTATTCAGATAGTTCCAAATATATCCAAATCTGAATTTGAGAGTTCTAAATATCTTTAATAATATTTCCTAATATTCAGAGTCCCATTTACTCTTATAGATTAGAAAACAATTTACAAACCTAAAGCAAAGATGGGAACCAGGTATCCCTTGAAATATTTATGTATGGTCAGATGCAATAGCCACAAACTCTTTCCATGGTTATACTAGCCAGGGCTGATGAAAGTTGCAATCAAACAACATTGGGGGCCACATCCTGATTCTAAAATGTGACAAAAACAATAAGAGTTGCATTTTTAAAAACTGCATGCCAAACAGTTCACCAGATAAACAATTTGAGGCGACAGAAGGAAAAATAAAGCAAATGTGGACATTTTTCCTATGGCTGAGATTGTGTAAGAACTCTTGATCTCACACAAGTCTACTTGGAAATTAGTGTATTTTTTCCAGTTATATTTGCCTCCAGGTAAGTATATAATAGATAGTTAGGATAATACTTAGCAACCTGAAATCTCTGTGAGTGGTGCCAAGCTACACTAAGGTTGCACAATCTTAGGGCGTGTTTAGATGGCAATAATGGATCATGCTGGAAAGAGTTGCTTGATTGGGTGCAATATTTAAAGTGACTCTTTAAAGTGACCCTTCTGTCCGTGATCTGGTCCTGATCATTCCAGCCTAACTCCAAAAACAGAGGGTGCAATCAGCATTTAACTTGCTGTTTGGTACGCTGCAAAGAATGGTTGGTTAACTCCTTTTTCCAATGATCACACAAATCATCCATGGAGCGTTTCTATCCACATTTTTCTAATCTTCTGTCAGGGGCTTCTACTTTTTTGCTGTGGGCAGAATCGCTCTACAGTACTTTGTTTTGTTTCCAGCATATGTGAACACTGGAAACAAAATAAAAGTGAGTTTTCTGGCTGTCAAGGCTCCTTCCAGTAGGAATTTTTAATATTATGAAGGGGCTTAATAAGACAGCCACTTCAGGATATTGGCAAATTAAACACTTCCTCTGGTCCTTGGCAGGAGGCAGAGGAGGTGAAAAAAAATAGACTCTATTGGGGCAGGGAAGATGCACTGCATCACTTACAATTTTTTCAAAAATTCTTTGCCTTGTCTTAAAGGTCCAGTCAAGAAACTGCCTGCAGCTGAATCCTCTGTTTACACTGAATTTTGCTGTTTTAAATACCTTTAACCCTAGTCTGGTGAGACTCTTTCAGAGCTCTTGTGGCTGTTGTTGTTACCCCACCTGAGGTAGCATTAGGAGCATTATGTGACCACATCACTATTATGTGGCTACTACTCTCCCTTAATTCCAGGGCTTACATAAGGAGATTAACTACATTGCAGGGTTAGTAGATCTATATGGTATGGATTTTCTTTTGAAACTATTTCAGTTACATTCCTGTACACCAGGGGCCTCAAACTCAATTTACCTGGGGGCTGCTGGAGGCAGAGTCTGGATGAGGGTGGGCTGCATCAGATTTTCCGCCAAGTGGAGCAAGAGCCCGAGGAAGCTGCCCAGGAGTTTCCTTAGCCCGGATGGGGCTTCGAGGAGGAGAAGGAGGGGCACGCAAGCCCTCGTTGCCAGCCACGACTCCCTCCGGCTCCTCCTTCACTACCACTACCACCACCACCAGGACGAAGAAGCGGAGAAGGGAGGGAGTGCCGGCGACCGTCTAGCGGGGGGGAGGGCCCGACATAATTTTTTTTAAGCCTCACAGAATCGCCTTGCCAAAGGAGAAAAGCCCCCATCGGTACCCACAAAATTAAACGGGGTGGGCTCCCCACACGTGCGCGCGAATTAAACGGGGTGGGCTCCCCACACGTGCTCGCACACACATAGAGGTCCAGCAACCTTCCTCTGAGGGCCTCCACTAAAAAAAAGGCACACTCAGGCAGGCTGGCTGGCAGGCTGCAGTTCCAGATGGAGGGTGCAAGAGGCACTGTCTTGGGAGACAGCCGGCGAACGAGGCGAGGCTTTTTTTGACTCTTGACAGCACAGGACGCATCCGTGGGTGTTTCGGGGGGCAGGCAAGGCAGGGGCCACAAACTATCATCCGGCGGGCTACAAGTGGCCCCCGGGCCGCATGTCTGAGACCCCTGCTGTACGCATTAACATCTCTCCAAAGTTATTGCTGTTAACACAAAATGCTGGAGGAGAGCATGTTTTAGTAATGGCCCCTGGGCCGCATGTCTGAGACCCTCCTGTACGCATTAACATTGCTGTTATTACTGTTAACACAAAATGCTGGAAGAGAGCATGTTTTAGAAGACCTTGTAGCAATGGTAGACAAGATGTGACCTGCCAGATGTTGAACTACAACTCCCAGCATCCCCATTAGCTGTGCTGGCTGGGGTTTCTGGTAATTCTAGTCCAAGAATATTTGGGAACCACCGCTTGAAAGCCACCTCACAACAATTAGGCTTTCTCTTCTTCCAGTACTGCTGGCCCTAAGAATTGTCTCACTGCCTGGAAAACCAGAGATATAGAGTGATTCCCGAAGGCTCCAGCTGTCCCCCAAGACCTAGAAACCCTACTTATGGTCTACTCAAGATTATAAGCACAGAATCACAATAATCATATTATAGCATAAGATTGCCTAATTCCTGCCAAACTCACAGTTCCTAGGATTTTTTAATCTGGATGGGTAAAGCAATCATTAACATAGTATTGCATGGTCAAATAACAACACAGTCCAATATTTGTCTACTCAGAAGTAGGCACCTCGGGATTCAACGGGATTTATGTACTTCAAGGTAAATGAGCACAGAACTAGAGCCTGAATAAAAGTCTCTATGGTTTCCTTTGCCATTCTTGGCTTCCTTAGTAGCAAATTCATTACAGCGACTAAATTCAAAACTAGTACTTAAAGAAACAATAGCTTAACAACGATCACAAAAGAACACTCATGTCCACTTCCCCAAAACAAATCAATTCTCTCGCTTAGTTCCATCAGACTTTTCCACAAAAGCTCACCTCTCTTTCCATCATGCTGAAGTGTTTTAGAATTTATTTTCCAAAGAACATGTGCTGTATGCACCACCGACAGCGATTCAATCTAGACAAAATTGTAGTCAAAAACTAAACTGATTACATTATTGTAAACGGGAAAGAGTTAAAGTTAGAATGAGATTATATCTCTATAAAAGATGCAAACCTTCCCCTTTCTTTTATAACATTTCCCTTGGCGAATTTCCTTTCTTTTGACACTTCCAAGAGATGTTATTTTCCCTTCCAGTCCAATTTCAGCAGTGATGGCCTAAAAGGTTCTGGTGCCCCAGGTGAGACTAGATTATAGGACTCCATATGGGGTCAAAAATAGGAGAGTTCTTATATGTGCTCACCAAGAAAATAAAAGCTGTTGGATTTCACTATCCTTCAAAGGAAAGATACTCAGTCAAGTCAATCCCATTTGAGTCTCACATGCAATGAAAATGTCACTAGCCTAGTTCATGTTCCAGCGGCACAGCTAGGAGCCGAGGATGGTTTCATGACCAGTTACAGTAGTTTCTTTGTGGGGGGGAAGGTTGTCCCTTTTGTCAGCTGCAAAGGATTTATTGGGAAATTTTCATGGTGTGGGCTGTGTCAAGTCCCTTCAGGAGCCGAGGATGGTTTCATGACCAGTTAGTTTCTTTGTGTGTGGGGGGGTTTGTCCCTTTTGTCAGCTGCAAATGATTTATTGGGAAATTTTCATAGTGTGGGCTGTGTCAAGTCCCTTCAAATGTTTGCCAAGGCCCCAGTGCAAAGGCAGGACTGAGAAACTTGGGTATGTAACTATTGTTCATCATGTTCTTACTCTGACATGATGCTAAGGAAATGATAGCATTATGCAGAGTGAGATGGCCACCTTGGGCAGCTGATTTTGGGTGTCAGCAGTTCATTTAAGATATATTATTACTGTATCTGTCATGCCAAGGGCAGGTGGTTACAGCATTACTTGGCTTAAGTTCCAAACTGCCTCAGCCTATCAGAGAGGGGAAAACTTACTCTTTGGACTTTGGAGCAGTTGGAGAGTCAGAGGAGAGGCTGACGTGAGAAGGCAGTTAGAGAGTCAGGAGTTAAGAGAGACAGTTGAGAGTGTGGAACTTTGAGAGAGTTCAATGTAGAATAAGTTAGTATGAATCTACTGAATATTTAAAATTATTTTAGGAACCTGTTAATGTGAACTGTATCCAATAAACTTGTTTTGAAGTTAGTATGAATCTACTGAATATTTTAAATTATTTTAGGAACCTGTTTATGTGAACTGTATCCAATAAACCTGTTTTGTTAAACTACACACAGTATGGACCTCAGTCTTTCTAAGTAAATATTGTTGACAGAGATCAACTGGTAGCAGCGTTAAAGGGAATATGGCATGGGCCTTAGGTTAGTGAAATAATCTGGGGACACACGAGGGGCACGTCACACTCCCATCTCTGACATTATACATCTTGAGGTCCATATGGCCTGGAGCTGCTTTTTTTTTTCCTGTCGAAGGGCTTTGGTCACATTGGCAGGAAGAAGCACTGTTGAATTAGGTTTTGCTTAAATAATTTGGAATCATTTTTAAAATCCCAGCTATACAACACAGAGAAGTGTGAATTTTTCTGCCCAGGAATTGTGGTTTTTAAATCGGAAGCGAGGTATTTTGCTGGGCTGGTAGAGGCCATTTATTTTAACATAGATGCAAAACTGATTTATTTTTCATTGATTTAGCATAGGTGAATGCCTTTGTCTATATAAATTGTATCTGTTGTCTCATGCTGTCATCTCTCACAAGCATTTGCTGCTTCTGATATGGGGTCGTTTTTAATTTTTTAAAAAGAATTTTTCCAAGGGGGATAGCGATAGTCTGACATGACAATGGAAATTTAGGATTCAGTAGAGAGAGAAAGGGGGGAAGCACACCGTCCTTCTCCGCAAAATGAAATTGACAAGAGAAATGCTGTCCAGTAAATTTCCACTGTCAGGTCAGACTAATGCTATCCCCCTTGGATTTTTTTTAAAATTAAAAACAAGCCTACAGCAGAATCAGCGAGTGGCTGTGGGAGGCAGTCAGCATGAAGGCAGGAAGGTGCAGGACAGAGTCTCAAATGCAACAATTCTAGATGGATTATAATATTGAAAACATGTCTGCAAATATGCTGGTTAATGAAACAGTTTTAAAATCCCACGTGTAGTTTCTCTTTTTATTTATTTATTAAATTTCCAAAACAAATACAAATAAAAATACAAAATATTTACCAATACAATCTAAACCACAGTTCTCCCCCATGCCCATGAGACCCTTCGGAACAATACTTTTAATATGAACCTTCTTTCCAAAATTGTATTGATTGTTGTTTAGAGGCTTTCCCCTTTCCTTTCGCTAATACAAATTCAACAAATCTACTCCAAATAGCATAAAAATATTTGAACTTATTTCCCCTCTTTTCATCTTAAGTTCAATAGTCAATTTATCATTTAATGCAATGTCCCATACGTCATTATACCAATCTTCTAATTTAATATCATTTTTATCTTTCCAGAATCTAGCTATTAATATTCTAGCACTTGTCATAAAATTGGAAATCAATTCATTTGAGCAATAATCAAGTTCTTTCTTATTAAAAATTGACAACAAAGCAATTTTAGAATTGAATTTGCTATCTTTTCCAAATATATCACATATTTCCGTAAAAATCAGTTTCCAAAATTTCTGAATCCATTTATACTCCCACCACATATAATATGTGCCAATTTCTTCATTACATGTCCAACAGGCCTTAGAATAGTCTGAATTTATTGTATTCAATTTCACTGGAGCCATATACCACCTTAAACCAATTTTCTTTAAAAAATTCCTTTATTCTTACCAACATTAATCTTAAACTCTCACCTTCCAAAATTTTGTCCAATCCTCTGTTTTAATTTCTGTCTTTAAATCATTTTCCCAAATTGATTTCAAACCTTCTGTTTCTGTCTTTTTCCTCTTGTTCCAAAATTAGATTGTAAATTCTACTTACTACTCCCTTTGTCAAAGCATCTTTCTGCATGTCTTCATTTGATAGAAATTGTTCGTACTAAGTACATTCTCTACATTTGCCATTAGTTTTCAGCCATTCATTTGTCCAACTATCTAACTGGATATAATTATACCATGATATAGTATTAGTTTGAAGTTTAACTATAGTCTGATCCTTCGATCTCATTTTAATCATCCAATCTGGCAACTTTTTAATATTTAAACAAATCAGCTAAACCCTTCAAGTTTGCTGGGAAATTTTCTATTTTGGTCACTAATTTTAGTGGTGAAGTAAAGGGACATAACTTCTTTTTATTTCTGTTCCAGATATTTAACATGTTTCTTAAAAAAGGGTTCTTTACCTGATTTATTGTATTTCTTTTTACTACATTAAATAAATATTTTTCAATATTCCCATTATTTTCTTAGGATTCCATATCCCACCAAATTAACCTTCCTTTGTTGTATATAATATCTCCAATAAATCTTAACTGATTCACGATATAATAATTTTTAATATTAGGAATACCTAAGTCTCCATTTTTTTGAGGCTTATACCAATATCTTTTATTTATTCTTGATTTTTTTACCTTGATTTCAAATCCATTAATTAATGCCAATACTTAAAATCTTCTTCTAATTGTATTGGGAGCATCCTGAATAAAAAAAGTAATTTTTGGTAATATTTTCATTTTGATCATGACAATTCTCCCAAACCATGATAGTTTCAATTTAGAATACTCCTGCAATTTATCTTTAATATCACTTTTTAATTTATTAAAGTTTTGTTCCTTTAAATTTTTGAGTCACTTTAACCATATTTATACCTAAATATTTAATATAATTACACATTTTTAAACCATATTTATTTACAAACATTTCTTATTCATATTTATTATAATTAAACATCATTATTTGTGTTTTTGGCCAGTTAATAGTCCTGTTATTTCCCCAAATTTTTCTAAATTGTTTTTAATATTATCCATACTTTCTAATGGGTTTTTAATGGTCAATAATGAGTAATCAGCAAATAAATAATTCTTAATTGTATCATTTTTACCTAATCCTTTAATTAATTCATCATTTCTTATTGCATTAGCTAACAGTTCTATAACCATACAAAACAATATTCGTGGAAATGGAGAGCCTTGTCTTGTACCTCAGCCTAGAAAAATCCGCTCTGTTAAACCATCATTAACTATTACTTCTGAAGTATTATCTGAATATAATTTATCTATAACTCCTCTAAATCTTCTGCCAAATCCTCAACCCTTTATAAGCAGCTTTAATGTTGGCCATTCCACACAATCAAAGGCCTTAAATATGGCTAGTGATAAAACAATTGCCTTTGTTTTTTCTTTTCTACCTCATATATAATATTCAAAACTTGCCTAGTTAAATTATCCATTTGTCTTCCCTTTATAAAACCACATTGATCCTCTTTAATATAATTTGCTATAAATCTATTTAATCTATTTGCTAGTATAGCAGTAAAAATCTTAGCATCTTGATTTATTAGAGATATAGGCCTATAAGATCCCGGAACGGTTAGGTCCTTGTTGGGTTTTGGGATAAGAATCGTTAATGAATGTTTCCAAGAAGGTGGTATTGTCTCTCCTTCCAAATTATTTTTTATTTATTTATTTATTTATTTATTTATTTATTGCATTTATATGCCGCCCATCTAGACATAGTCTACTCTGGGCGGCTCACAACATGCAGGATAAAAACAATTTAAAATATACACGATTTTACATTAAAAAAGATTTAAAAATAATATCGTAAATTTACAATTAATTTAAAGCAAACAGTCCCAAGATGGCATAAGTTAAAAGGAAAGAAATAAGAAATAAGCATCACTTAATTGACTGGAGGGAAGGCCTGCTTGAATAGCTAAGTTTTCATTTGGCTTTTGAAGACGCCCAGCGAGGGTGCCAGCCGAATTCCAGTAGGGAGGGTGTTTCACAGCCGAGGGGCCACCGCCGAGAAGGCCCAGTTTCTCATTTTTTCCCATTCTGGCCAGAATTGTCAATGAGAGGAGATACTGGGAGCTGGAATCTAAAATATCTGAAGGCCACCAAGCTGGATAAAGACTGAATTAAGGGCTATACACAAGAGGAAGTAGACTTCTGTGCAATGTCCTTAGAGGGGAAATGCAACATAGAAGGTTATTCTGCACATGTTCTTCCTGACACTGGTCAATAAGTAGCTGGGCCATGTTATGTCTTCAAACCCTATGGATTCAATTTGGCCATTGTCTCCTTCCAAGCTGAAAGAACTGTGGAAGAATTTTCTGTTGTATTTAAGAGTTGATTGAGCAGTCAAGTCTTCCTGTGCCCTTAGTTACAATCTTCAGTGGACTGGCTTGGGATAGCCTGCGCTAGGGATGGGGAGGGGGCAGTGTACCACCTTCCCTGATGGATTAGCTATCACGACATTGTTCTTGATAGATTACCTGTCACTACACAACTTCTGAAAAGTGACTCCTAGTTTGTCCTTTGGCACCAATGTTCTTCTGTATTTTCTGTACCTCCACAGACTGATACATGTTGCCTAGCCCAGACAGTGGGGTAGAAAGGGAGAGAGGGAGGAAACACCACGGGAAAAGCAGGTGTACACCTCATGATGTGGCTGAATGACAAAGCTATCTAATCACCTTGGGAAAAAAATATCCACAGTAGGTATATAGAAGGAACAGATACTGTCTATATATGTGTGCGTTAGGTGCCATTAAGTCAATTCTGACTTATGGCTACCCTGTAGGGCTTCTGAAAGATATGAGCTATTTAAAAAGTGGTTTTACCAGTGCCACTCTACAGCAAGTCTTCTGTGAGGTTTGGATCCAGGTCTCCTGAGATGTTGTCCAACATTCTCTTTGCTGCATTGCAGTGGTTCTCACTGTACACATAGAAAGATCAAAAGACAGTCAGATCAAAATGGCTGGGAACACAGAACAGAAGTAGCCCATTTTTTCCATAGTAGCTGCTGTAGACAAACGGATATTTAATAGAATGTCTTTCTTTAACCAGTTGTGGGATTCCCAAGATATGATGAGAATATTTTATCACAT